ACCCCCAGGTGCCCCCTCCCCCCTGACGCCTGGGCCTTTCGCCCCTTCTGATATCCCTCCAGTTTCGAGAGATGACGGACTCCTCTCATGTCCCCGTATCAGACATGGTCATGTATGGCTACAGGTACTGTTGGGGACGGCAGGGGGGAGGGGCGCTGGCTGGGCCACATGAGCCAGGCTGTCCCTCACTGTTCCCACCACTGCCAGGAAGCAGTTCGAGGCCCCGACGCTGGCCGAAGGCTTCTCTGCCATCCTGGAGATCCCGTTCCGGCTGTGCCTGGAGCCGAGGCTGGAGCGGCTGTACTGCCAGTTCTCCGAGGGCTGACCCCGCCCAGCTCCCCTCCACAATAAATGTTGTTTCTCCTTGAGCTTGGCCGGCATTTTGCTGGGAGGAGGGGCTCCAGGCCTGGCAGTTTTTTACATGGACGGAGGCTTTAGGGACATTTTCCGGTAACAGAAGGTGGGGGTCTTACAGAAGGGATTGCAGCTTTGCTGGGACCTGGCATGGGCACGTTAGCCGGGGAACGCACAGGGCAGGGCACTGCCTGGCTGCCTGAGAGCCAGCTGGTGAGCCCACAAGCCCCAACCCAGGGGCTCGCTCAAGGCCAGGTGTGACCCCTGAACTTGAACCCAGGGCCTGTGGATCTGGAGATTGCTGGGGAAAAGGGTGTGGGCAGCCGAGAGCCAGTGAGTATCCAGGCTGTCCAGGCCTGCTGGGCCACCTTATGGCTAGGGGGCTGCCAGGCATGGGGCAGTGAGTAGAGGGGGCAGGCAGGTTTTTAAAAGGCTTTATTAGGGAAACGTAGAGGGGTGGGGACCATCCTTGGAGGCCTCAGGACACCATCCTCCATGTTGCTGGGCAGTTGAAGTCCCCAGGGGCCCCTGTTCAGAAGCATGTCACCTGGGGGCAGGGGTGCAGTGGGGGCTGCTGGCCACAAGCTCCCAAGCACTGACCAACATCCCTGTGGGCAGAGGCCCGGCCCCACCCAGGCCTGGACACTGCACCTCCCATGGCCCTGCAGCCGGGATACAGTTTCCCAGATAGCCTAGGACTGCCAGGACTGCCGCCTCTCCCTCTGCTCTGGTCGCCCCAAGGCCAAGGTCGCCCTGCTTCTTTCCCAACCGCACCCACGCGCCCCCCCCCCCATGCCCCAGGGTCCCTCCTGTACATGACAGGGTCACCACTCACCAGTCTCTGCCGGGGCCTCATCTGTGACTCTGGAGGGGCCCAGCCCGGGGTGGCCACTACCCCCCCATCTGTGGGAGGAATCAGAGGCCAGTGGTGAGCAGGCAGGATGGGTGGGGGGGAGGCTGAGCAGCCCTGGGGCCCGGCTGCCTCACCCCTCGTTGCTGCTGCTCCTGCTCCAGGTTCCGCTGCAGGACCTGCTGCTGGTTGGCAATGACACGCCGGATGCCGTTGACAAAGTTGCCCTGGTCGTGGGGGATGAGGCCGATGAAGATTTTCTTCTCCGAAGAATACAGGAGCATAAGCACGCGGATCTCACACGATGCTTTGTAGGAAAAGTGCACGCAGCCAGCCTGGCAGGCACAGGGCGTGGTGTCAGTAGACAGCACCACAGGGACTCAGGCCGCAGGGACAAGCATCCCTCCAACCACGGCACCACGCCGTGGGCTCGATGAGCCAGACACAGCCTAACTGCTCTGTCCTCACACCTCCCCACCAGTCCCGGAGGTGGGCCCCCTTATTAGGATGACACGGTGGCCAAGAGCAATGGGTGGGTCAAAGGCCAACAAGCTCTTTTGGGAAGGGCCCAAGAACTTGCATTTCAGAGCTCCTGGGCAGGCCAGGCTATGTCTGGGGCCAGCTCACCACAGCCGCCTGAGCCAACCGGTCATGGCTTCAACTCGGGAACCCAAGGGATCGGCAGCAGCTGGCCCAGCACAGGTGAGGGCGGAGGTACATGGAGCCTTTATGCACTTCCCTGAGGAAACTATCTGTGTGTGTGTGTGAGACTGTTTCACTCCTGTTGCCCAGGCTGGAGTGCAATGGCGTGATCTCAGCTCACTGCAACCTCCACCTCCTGGGTTCAAGCCATTCTTGTGACTCAGCCTCCGGAGTAGCCATCATGGCCAGCTAATTTTTGTATTTTTAATAAAGACAGGGTTTCACCACGTTGGCCAGGCTGGTCTCGAACTCCCGACCTCAGGTGATCCACTCTCCTCGGCCTCCCAAAGTGCTGGGATTACAGACATGAGCCACCGCGCCTGGCCTGAGGGAACTCTTGCAATTGCTTTAATGTAAAAGCATCTACACCCAGGCCCCGTCACCCACTAACAGCTTTGTGGACAGTTTACTCAGACTAAGGCAAAGCTAATTTTAAGGTAGTTTCGGGACAGATGTTACCTAAGTGTGGCCCAGCTGGAAGGTGGACACCACGGGAGAGGGCACAGAAGCACCAAAGTCCAACCCTCCCTACCTCACAGATGGAGAAACTGAGCCCCAGAGAGAGAAGACTCAGCCGAGACTCCCCCAGATAAGATGATCACCAGATACTCTGGGACCTTGCTGGGGACAGACAGCCCTCCCTGCCCAGCAATGGGCCTTTGGGATGTGGCACAAGCTCCCGGGAAACCTGGAGTGACAAGGGCACCTGTCCCGGGGGAGCGGAGAGCACGGAGTTGGTGCTTTGGGACATCAGCACCTGGTGCCGAGTCAGTCCTGATGTGGCAGAGGAGCGGCAGGCCCCTGCATAACCGGGGTCAGTGCCCCCGTCCAGTGCCATGGGGACAGCACAGAGCCCTCAGGAGCCACGCCCACACTAGCCACCCTCTCTCCCCAGCTGTCCAGGACATGGTGCTCTGTTCCTCTCCCATGTGCACCCCCCGTGAGCGGTCCTGCCTCGCTCTACCCTGGCTCCCTCTGCCCTGGCCGGCCCCTCCCCAGCGTTTGCCGGCGCCACTCACGAAGCCGTTGTCCATGATCCGGCACAGGCTCTTCAGTGTCTCCAGGTCCTTGGTGAAGTGGAACTGGACCAGGCGCGAGTTCCGAAACAGCGGCACCAAGGTGGTCTGCGGGGAAGCGAGGGGACCCCCGGTTCTGACTTCTCAAACCACGGCCTCCTGCTCCCAGCCTGCTGAGTCCCCCAGGCCCAGGACCAAACTGAGGCTCCCCTGTCCTCCTTACCTCAGGAAACTGTCATCTCCACCCGTCAACCAGCCTAATCCTGGAGTGCTGTGGAAGCCGCTCTCAGACCCCTTGGCAGCTCCCCAGGTCCAGATCGAGGCTGCCCCTGCCCCGCTCAGTCCCTGCACAGCCACCGGCTGGGTGCCTGGGACCCCTTGGAACCAGGCCTGAGGACCTACCCACTGCCCCTGCTTCAGCACCCTCAGCTCCACTCCCTCACGGCCAGCTCAGGCCACCCAGGGAGGCGCTCTTGCCCCCAGTCCCGCCCTCTAGAATGGCTACTGCTTGCAGGCTTGACAGCCCGGCCCCAGCCCCTCACCAGCAGCTGCTGCGGGATGAGCTGCATGTACAGCTTCCTTGGCCACTGCTCGGTCCTCCTGTGGGGCACGAGGGGACGAGGGTCAGGAGGCCCCAGCTCCCCTAGACGCTGCCACCGCCCCCAGCCCGGCACTCACAGGATCTCCCCCTGGTTCACGTAGACGTGGGACGGCAGCCACCTCTTGGACCGACTGTTGGGCTCAGGCCTGGGCTTTTGGGGGAGAGGTAAAGAGGAGCCCTCAGGGCTGGAGACCCCCAACCCCAGTGTCCCCTCCCAGCCACAGTCCGTGAGGATCTGGGGGTCCCAGGTCCCCGGGCTGCCGAGGGCTCACCTCCTGCCACTCCATGACGCCGCTCCATGCCAGAAACTTGTTGTTGACGATCTGGACTGGGCCTGAGTTGACACCACCAGGTCCCACTGCCTGTTGGAAGGGAAGGGGGTGGGAAGAAGGGGCCCTGGGTCCTGGGAAACCTGTCTGTCCTGGGGTCTGCCGTCCCTCCCTCCGAGTCTTGGCCTGTCGACCCCAGCTGGGTCCATTCTCTAGCCCCAGGGGAACAGGCCCTGCCCCCTCACCTGCTCACAGCCCCCCACAGCTCCCCAGTGGCCTGAGACAGGTCCTGGCCCTCACCTGGTGCACAGGACCTGCAGAGTCTGCCTCAACTGGCAAGGCATGACCAGGACACGTGGTCACCGGGCAGGGCCTTCCAGCCTCACGATGATCCCAACCCCTGCCCAGCTCCCCACTCCGCTGGCTTCCCCACCGCTGCGCCAAGACCCACCCTCCGGCCCTTCAGAGCCACCTGGTGGCCGCTTTTCCGTGGAGCCCTGATGGGAACCCGCCCGGCCTCCTCTGGGCTCCCCTGCGGCTCCTTGCTCCAGTCATCGCATCACACTCCGCCCACACCAAGTCTGGCTGCCCATCCAGGGTGGTGGGGCCTAACTCCACTCTGTCCTCAGAGGGGCTGTGCTCGGCGGCACACCTGCTTGCGGGTGGTGATGACCTGCCGGATGGCGCTGACGAAGCCGCTCTGGTCGTAGGGGATGAGGCCCATGAAGATCTTCTTCTTGGACGAGTACAGGAGCATGAGCACGCGCACCTCACAGGGCGAGATGTGGGGGAACAGCATGCAACCCGCCTGTGGGGGCCGCGGGTCAGGACCCCGTGGGCACTGCCCAGGGCCGCCATGCCCCCACCACCCTGGACTGCCCCACCTGTAGGGGACGAAGGGAGGTCATTGGTGGACAGAGGCCCCCACAGTCAAGGCCACGGCCATAGGTGAGGGGCCTCTGAGAGCCCGTGCAGCACCCATTGGCATCCCCCGACCCTGCCATGGCTGAGGTTGGAGTGGCGCCCGGCACCCAGGCTGTGGTGAGAACGCCGAGAAGGCATCACCTCCCGCCCACATCGTCCCCTGCCACCAACCCTCCTGCCTGCCTGATGGGGTGACCTGGCCTGGGGGTTAAGAGCACAGGCTTAAGAGGCAGACCCCACCGCTCTGCTGCCTCCTAGCTGTGTGACCTAACACCAGCCACCTCCTGTTTCTGGGCCTCCATTTCATCATCTGTAAAACGGGGTAATAGTGCACACACTGGGTGCCACATAAAGGCTCAACAGATAAAGTACTGGTACCTCTTGGACGGGGCATGGGAGAACTAAGCCTGACAGATGTGCCTGGCTGTGGTGTCTGAAGTGGTGGGCCCGTTCCAGAACCCAATGTCCCCTCCCCACACTGCGCCACCCTCCACAGTGCTGTACCCTACACACTGCCAGCCTAACCTTTCGACCTCGGTGTCAGTCCAGGGATCACCTGCTCAGGGCCCTGTCCCTGGCCTCCCTGGAGCCATGCAGAGTCACCCTCCCAGGGCCATGCCTGGGGGGCGAATGCGGATGCCCACCTTCCCTACAGACTGGGTACTTGGGGCCCGGACATGGCAGGCCCTCAACAAACAGTGCTGGGTGAAGGGGGACGGGTCAGCTAAGAGACCTCATGCCAGGCACAAGCCCTGGTCTGCCCCTGGTGCTCTGAGGGAGAAGGGAGGCCAAAGCGGAACCCAGTGTGCCTCAGAGCGGCAGCTGGAACGGGGTAGAGGCAGACTGTCCCAAAGGGGAACAGGGACTAAGAATGTCCCAGAGCCAGGTCCTCTGGGCAGAGGACTCGCTCCCACCCCATCCCTGCCTCCTCTCCAGCACCTGCCGTCTTTCACAGTCCCATCCCCCTTGCTGACCTGCCCTGCCCCAGAATCCCAGTCACCTGAACAGCCTCACCAGCTAGGTTCACTGAGCACTCACTAGGTACTAAAGTCACCATCTCAAGCGCTCTACACAAACTCCCTCCCTCCAGCCTCCCAGTGGCCCTAGGAAGCACGGCTCCTATTAGCCCATTTTACAGACCAGAATACCAAGCCCCGATGC